TTACAAAGGGTCAGGTGAACGGGTCGCGCTTACCGAGGCGGTCGGATAGTCTAGTGGTTAAAGCGCTCGCTCGTCACGCCGAAGACTCGAGTTCGATGCCCGATATTGGTACAATGTGTGAAGCCCATTTCTTGTGTCCCCCGCCGTGATAGTGCTGGAATATTGCTAGAAGCGGCGTAAAGCCATACCCACTCACTCACTCTTCGGCCAAATATGAAAAAAGGTCACAATGTCTGGAACCCGCTCTTTCATGTCCTTGGGTCCCCAGTCGTGGTATAATGGCACTTCCAAGCTCAACATTCTCTCCAATCCCAACATCGTATTTATTGTATGTATATCTAAAAGGTCCAATGTGATTATGTTTCCACATAGTAGAAGTATTTAGTTAAAAATACATAATGACACACGTCAAAAATTATCTTTTTCAAAAGGAGACAAAAAAAACCAACCCAAGCAAATATCCCGTGACCACCTCAACTCTACGACGAAGTTTACGACATCAAACGGAAGTACGGAGCCGACTTGTGGCACATTGCCCTATGTCGTACACCGCCATCTATCAACATGATACCATCAGACACGAGGGTTGGAGCGTTTCTCCCTTCGGGTTATTAATTACTATAACTAATTAGCAATAACGTAAGAATGTGATGGCATCAGGTTGGTTATGAAAGAGGGTTAGCGCCCTATCTCGCATACCACTCGAGTCTCGCGGACGCTTCGAGACTTGTAGGAAACTACAGTTCAATCGAAGGCTTGGTGAGTCATTCCCGGATGGGGCACAATGTTTCACTTTTAGCATGAGCAACCAATGACCGAGGCAGCAGTGGTCACATGGCGCGATATCTCTTGGCATATCTTAGATAATCGTTCCATTAGTTTACCGTCCCAGTGAGTGAGTGAGTTAAAATTTTATGGTCGCATCGACAGTGTTTCAGTCATTTCGCAGTGAGAACAAATTATGAATAAAAGAACAAGTTATCAATGATATATTATACCAATTGGTAAGACCTATTTTGTGATATCAATAAACATATATGATCTGATACATTATCTAGTAATTTGACACTATCGGTTCTGACAGGAACGTACAAGCCGGCTGAAAAGATTATTAACATCTTTAACTTCGAGGTTTCGGTGTTATTCGTGATCCAGATATTAACATCATCTACAGTCTCGAGGCCATGCTTATTGCCAGAACAGATCGTAGATTATTTGAAACATCTGAGATGTTGAAAAACATGATGCAACGCTACGCCGTGTTTTATAGTCCTACACTATGACTGCAGAATATATTTATTTTATGAAAACAAAACCAAGATTTTTATACGTAATTCCGAATTGGAGTGAGCTATTTCCAAATGTACCAACAAAGAGTGAATGAGTTGGATTGAACGCCGCTTTTAACACTATACCAGTTATATCACAGAGTGTCAGTTTAATGTAGGAGGAAAGCCTGAGGTGATTCAGGTCTCAGACATTTAACCCTTTGGTGAAAACCAGGAGCACGGGTTTGGTGCTGACAAACCTAGAAACATAATCAGGAAAGAACCAGGATTCGAACCCACGATCATAGGTTTCTGGCGTGCCTAAGGGACGCAACTCTGAACAGCGAACTGCGGCGCCCTAGACGACTAGGAAACACGTGCCCCCTACCAAGAAAGAAATAATCTTAAGTGTACAGACATTATTTTAAATGCTACATTACGAAGAGTGTCAGGAGCGCCGACATTCTCGTCAGCCCGTGTCGCGTGATAGAATGTGAAGTGAATGGTTTACTGGTTCTCTAAAAGGCTGATCATCTTGTTTCTACTTATGTTTAATTCAACAATGAGCTGATAGCTTTAAAGCGAATTAGAGGACTACTTGCCATGAATAAGTAAGGAAAAGTCATTAAATGCGATACAAATCGGGTTGAACGAACGCTAAGTTACCTGAAGACACGTGCCGTATATATCATTGTAGAGGATCGCTTACATCTATCTCCCCGTCCTAGTATATCACAGCGTCGCTTTACCGAGTCAATAATTCATGGCAAGGGTATTTCCTCTTCGTCGTCTTTTACGAAGATAAACAGGCTGCTTTTAAACGGGAAACATTATCGACGTAGTGGTGTAATTTTGTATGTCGGTTTATTACGATTTTATAGTAAGGAGGTGATGCGCGCCAGATAGCTGAGAGTGAGACTAATATCTAGTCTCTGAAATGAACATATTTTACAAAACAGTTGTTAAATTAGAGTTATAAAATATAATAAAAAGGAGCCCAGAGACTTTCTTCATTTTTAGATCCTGAAGTGATCTAGAGTTGCCAAACATTATAGACTTGCATGTGCTGTATTGGATATATGAGTTTTAGGGTCTGTATGACAGACTAACTGAGAGTGTGCAGGCTCATCCCTTGTCGCCTGATTATAGGAGTGCATCTATGTTCACACGAACGCAGTCTCCTCCTTCCAGAGATTCTCTTCGCAAGAGGGGCGGTCGGGTAGCCTAGTGGTTAAAACTTCGCTCGTAAATCCGAAGGCCCGTGTTCTATTCCCCATATGGGTACAATGTGTGAAGCCCATTTCTGGTGTCCCCCGCCGTGCTATTGCTGGATTATTGCTAAAAGCGGCGTAAAACCCTACTCACTCCCTTTCCATATATTATAGACATGCATGAGCTGTATGTGATATATTCAATTTTGTATCAGGGTCTGTATGATGGATTCATTATCTCGCACAGTTGCATTTTCCACTCAAATTCGTTTTCTCGCATACTGACGACTTCCTTGTCTCGTACACGCCGATTGGTTGCCTCGCACGCTCACACTCATTGTCTTACACACCCACACTCATTGTCTCGCACACTCACACTCATTGTCTCACACACCCACGCTCATTGTCTCGCACACTCACACTCATTGTCTCGCACACCCACACTCATTGTCTCGCACACCCACACTCACTGTCTTACACACCCACACTCATTGTCTCGCACACTCACACTCATTGTCTCACACACTCACACTCATTGTCTCGCACACTCACACTCATTGTCTCGCACACTCACACTCATTGTCTTACACACCCACACTCATTGTCTTACACACCCACACTCATTGTCTTACACACTCACACTCATTGTCTCGCACACCCACACTCATTGTCTCGCACACCCACACTCATTGTCTCACACACTCACACTCATTGTCTCGCACACTCACACTCATTGTCTCGCACACTCACACTCATTGTCTTACACACCCACACTCATTGTCTTACACACCCACACTCATTGTCTCACACACTCACACTCATTGTCTCGCACACCCACACTCATTGTCTCGCACACCCACACTCATTGTCTCGCACACTCACACTCATTGTCTCACACACCCACACTCATTGTCTCGCACACCCACACTCATTGTCTCACACACCCACACTCATTGTCTCACACACTCACACTCATTGTCTCACACACCCACACTCATTGTCTCACACACCCACACTCATTGTCTCACACACTCACACTCATTGTCTCGCACACTCACACTCATTGTCTCGCACACCCACACTCATTGTCTCGCACACTCACACTCATTGTCTCGCACACCCACACTCATTGTCTCACACACTCACACTCATTGTCTCACACACTCACACTCATTGTCTCACACACTCACACTCATTGTCTCGCACACTCACACTCATTGTCTCACACACCCACACTCATTGTCTCGCACACTCACACTCATTGTCTCCCACACTCACACTCATTGTCTCGCACACTCACACTCATTGTCTCACACACTCACACTCATTGTCTCGCACACTCACACTCATTGTCTCACACACTCACACTCATTGTCTCACACACCCACACTCATTGTCTCGCACACTCACACTAACCTCCACTGTCTCACAGATTCATACGCCTAGAATCCATCTCAACTGCCGGGCAAAGGAAAGCATACACTTGAACACTGGATTCAAAAACATCACAAACGTTATCAAAACGTTACTAGGCTTAAAACAGTCGCCAAAAACAACTAACTTAAGGTCCAAAATACAACTATGATACCCTATCAAATACACTACCATGGAATAACCATAGCTCGTTTGTTCCAACTTAGCCACCATCAAACATGGCTGTATACTTTCCTTTGCCCGGCAGTATATATCCATATGAAGGACATAGCGAAAGTCTATTGAATGTATAAATTAGACCTAAATATGAGGTAAATAACTCATAAACTTCTATACGACGGGCACTCCTACCGACACAGCACCACTGCCTTCGGCCAGCGGACTTAGCTATGTGTGGTATCACACAATGCAGCAATATACGACACTATACAACACTACATACAGCACTATACAACACTATATACCGCACTTTTCGGTCATTATCCACCAACATAATGGAAGCGAGAGGGTGAGCTACCCGTGCGAGAAACGCTCGAGAAACACTTTTTACCGACCGTAACTACTGTCTCACAGAAGACCCGCGTATGGCAATGTTATTCCGTTGTTTACAACAAAAACGAGAGAATATTAATTATCAACTTTGAAATGTTGTGTATTAAGTTCTTTTTGAAACTGTGTAGTTACAAGTGGATGTGCATACTCCCAAAATGTAGACAAACAACCTACAATAAATATTATCACAAAGACAGTGGCACAATGCATCAGTTAATTAATCTATGGCACAGTGATGGCTACGGGGAACATCTCACTTCGACATATTTATGAATTTAACACATAAAACTATGTTATTGAAAATACCTTTATACGATTGCAATTGTTTGTTCGTGTAAATGATTGTCCCGATTGTACAATGACCAATACGTCCCAACAAGATCAGGTTTGAATTTCTACAATATATGGCTGAGACACAGATATCAAGAATGTTCTTGCCATAGTCACAATTAAAACATATTTACATCAGAATGATAGCAAACTCATAGTTATAGCATTTCAAATGAGATACGACACTGCCTGAATATAATCTCACCTCCAGTTGACAGTGTCCGCGATGTCAGCAGTCACACGAGGTACTCCGATCTGTGACCGTGTAGTATCACAAACAACGTGATGAAATAGATGTATAACTCCAGCACCACTTCTCCACGTCGCTCGTGACGTCCCACCGCTGTGGTATAACAGCGATATATCCTTCAGCACTGTCTCTGTCTGCGAGATCCTTACAACGACTCGGGGATCGTCAGTTTGTACCGCTGAAAGCTAAACCGAGGGAGCTTAGGGTAACCGTCTCCATTCACCAAGGCTCATTCCACGGGTTATAATGCTAGAGGCGCGTTGAGATTCGCTTTATTGACGCTCAACGGAGTACACACACGACCACTCTTGAATGGACACCACGGCGAGTCTCCACTGTCAAAAGCCAGCGTTTAACACACGCAGACGGTCTCCGAACTGCGGAAATTGACAGTTTGATTTGTGAGTTTCGATATGCAGTTGCCTGCTTACATGTGATTTCGTAAGTTATAAGACTCCGGATGAAATTAATACGCTATAAATTGCTGGTACGAGTCGGTGGCGCATTTGAATACCGTCTGTTGACTCGAACGCGCCGTTTAGTAATTTGGAACGGAAATTTGCAGTGGGTTTACTTGTTGATGTGAAGTTATGTAAACTGGTTCAGATTCTCCAGAAGCTCTACAAGGGTCGAGTGTGTTAGGTCTACTGGTGTGATTGTGTCGACAGTGGGACAATCAATGCCCCCCCCCCCCCCCCCAGGATACGCCGTGTAGATTAGACTCATGATGAATCAGTCTGAGTTCACAATGCGGGATGTTGGCGATTGCAAGGCCGCTTCAGTCTGGATTGATAGTTTTACAGAGGATTTGAAAGTCATATTTCCTGCTGGAACATGCCCGCCATGGCATCTGGGAGACGAGGTCGATCTCAAAGTTGCCATGCTCATTAATTCAACTTGTGTGGAGATCAGTTGAGCTATTGTACTGTCTGGCAGTCGACGTCCTGCCATTATCTTCTCATCTTCTCCGCATCTCCTCTATAAACGGTCCACCATCAAAACCGAAAGGTCCCATGGATCATCTGACTAATGAAAAACACATTTGAGGACATAACTCTGCTATTTCTACTAATATCCACGTGCATCTTTGAAATGCAGGACTATGTTAGGTGCCTGGACATATATTAAAGTTTATATTTATTCTTTATTTGTTTTCCTTCGTTTTACATCCAGATCAAAGAGTTGTATTGATATCACCTTCGAGGCCTACACTTGGTAGTGTTCTGCTATGGAGTAAATATAACTGTGTATCCATGACTCACTTGTGTATAAATCAACTTGTTCCCGTCGCTATATGGCTGAAATAATGCCGAGGCGACGTTAAATTTTAACTCACTCACGAGAGTTATGCGTGATGCAAGGTCATACGGTGAGGTGAAGGTCGGCGTAGGAATACAGAATTGCGTGATGCAAGGTCACACGTAAGATGAAGGTCGGCGTAGGAATACAGTAATGTGTGATGCAAGGTCACACGGTGAGGTGAAGGTCGGCGTAGGAATACAGAATTGCGTGATGCAAGGTCACACGTAAGATGAAGGTCGGCGTAGGAATACAGTAATGTGTGATGCAAGGTCACACGGTGACGTGAAGGTCGGCGTAGGAATACAGAATTGCGTGATGCAAGGTCACACGATGAGATGAAGGTCGGCGTAGGAATACAGTAATGTGTGATGCAAGGTCACACGGTGACGTGAAGGTCGGTACAGTAATACAGTATTGTGTGGTGCAAGGTCACACGATGAGGTGAAGGTCGGCGTAGGAATACAGAATTACGTGATGCAAGGTCACACGATGAGATGAAGGTCGGCGTAGGAATACAGTAATGTGTGATGCAAGGTCACACGGTGACGTGAAGGTCGGTACAGTAATACAGTATTGTGTGGTGCAAGGTCACACGATGAGGTGAAGGTCGGCGTAGAAATACAGTATTGAGAGATGCAAGGTCACACGATGAGGTGAAGGTCGGTACAGTAATACAGTATTGTGTGGTGCAAAGTCACACGATGAGGTGAAGGTCGGCGTAGGAATACAGAATTGCGTGATGCAAGGTCACACGTAAGATGAAGGTCGGCGTAGGAATACAGAATTGCGTGATGCAAGGTCACACGATGAGATGAAGGTCGGCGTAGGAATACAGTAATGTGTGATGCAAGGTCACACGGTGAGGTGAAGGTCGGTACAGGAATACAGTAATACAGCCTGTAGGTATCTATGTGTGTGTGCGTGATGCATGGGTGAGTGTGATGTGTCTGTGTGTGTGTGTGTGTGTGAGAGAGAGAGAGAGAGAGGGACCAGAGAGAGAGAGAGAGATAAAACGAGAGAGAGAGCGGGAGAGAGAAAGTGACAGAGAGAGAGAGTAACAGAGAGGAGAGAGGAAAGACCAGAGAGAGAGAGAGGTGTGTGTGTGTATGTGTGGTGGGGTGGGGTGGAGACACGATACCATTTTTAAGCTGTTTAAATCGTGCTTAATGCGGCAAGAGAAACCAACTGTTTATGTTTACCCTGTCAGGGAAATAATACTGCCTGAGGATGTTAATGGTAGATTTAGCAGGTAGACCAGAGCCGCAATATTCCCCACCCCTGCTGGTAGATGGGATATGGCACACATCACCCACCGTTATATACCATCATCGGGGCATATACCAGGCTCTGTTAATCGTAGTGTATAATGTATATTGCATGGACGTCGATATTCCATGTCTGTCAAGCATAGAGTATAGAGAGGCGCCTCGATCAGATCATATAGCATTAATCACATATCTCCATAGGATTATCATTCCTGAACATATCCTTCCAATTGCTTTAAATAACTGTGTGGCCAGCCATGGTTATCGTGGAGTAGATAATGGGATTAATCTTTCAAATTATGGTCCAAACACAGACAAGACGGCAGGGATGGTCGCCTATTTGGAATAGTAAAAAAGAAAATTAGTCACCGGATACCCAAGACGGCCGCAAATTGGCCTTCAAAATGTCTAGTTTCTGCTTTATACCAGAGGTCAAAGGTTAAACAACATCAAAACTTATCTTAAAACTAAACTTTAAAACTTACCATAACCAACTTTCCACCACTGTTATATCTGGTCAAAACAAAGAAAAGGAAAACAGAAAATATAACTACCCAGGAAAACACATTATTGGGTACTGCTTCATATGTTTGATCGTGCTTGACCGCTGTGCTCATGGTGACAACAATGAGTGAGTGAGTGAGTTGGGTTTATCGCCGCTTTCAACAGTATTCCAGTTATATCGCGGTGTGTCAGCTTAATGTGGGAGGAAAGCCCGAAGTGATGCAGGTCTCAGACCTGCAGACCACTTTTGTGAAACCCACGAGCACGAGTATGGTGCTGACAAACCTAGAAACATAATCGAGCGAACCGGGATTCGAACCCACAATCATAGGTTTCTGGCGTGCCCAAGGGACGCAACTCTGCACAGCGAATCGCGGCGCCTTAGACGACTGGGCCACCCGTGCCCCCTGGTGACAACATATGTCAGAGACTTCACTCTGATGTACCTCCTGTTATAGACTTACACCTAGTCAAGGAAAACATGTCTTTAAATTATTATTTTCTTTGAAAGAACCTTTCCTCTCCTGCTGTTTGTGGAATCAAGAATATTAGACTTGGTCAGTTTGACCTAGACTTGCCTAGGTTTTTAGTAAATAAAATTAACAAAAAATATAACTTCAACATTTTATGAATTTTTTGAAAATAATAGCCTAGATCTTATTTAACCGATATTTACAGTCGAACCTCGTGTCGAACTAGAATGTGTGGCATTCCCGGTTGTCTCGAACACACATTCCGGCCCGAGCGATAACGGCACATCCTCCATTCCAGTACCATATCAACTCTCTGCACAGGTTTGTCAGACTTTATTTACTTACTGGTGTTTGTAACCATAATACACTCTCCATACTTCAACACCGTCACTCATCTTAATGTCAAAGTGAACAGACGCAATATCACTCACACATAAGACACAAACACACAGCTCGGTAAACGTCCATCTTGCTTTTATAGGAATCGCTAGACATAGCCATGAAATTCGGAGTTGTGTTAGTAACAAGTATGTTTCATATGTGTAAGCAATAATAACAAATGGAGTAGATTCGACTCAATAACGCCAAGTAGATGGCGCACCATGAAGTGGAATGTGGAATCTACATGTATTGACATGTGTATTTGCTGTGAAAATATTGCTTTCATATCTAGTGCAGTGCGTTTGTATAGCGTCGCTGCGCGGAGCTTAGAAACGTATCAAAGGGTTCGTGATGAACCAGCGGTTGTGACGTTGAGAAGGGCTGTTCCCATGCGGAGAAACTGGGTTATTACATATGTTATTACATATGTAACAAAAGGTCGGCGGTATCAGCTGGATATTGATTGGATGGACATGAACGCAGACCCATGATGGCGAGGTGTATAATTCAACTTGTGAGAACATGACTGTTTTCCCACGCACGAAAAATGAATAAAATCAGATCGGGTAAGGGAATTGAACACGGTAGCTGTTCATGACGAGCAACCACCTCAGTCACTGTGCTATGTAAATTACAACAGTGGGTAATTCATTCGTTCTTTGGCTAAATATGAGTTGTCTATACTGTAAATGCTCGCAATGTCTGGAACCCAGGTTTACATCTCCTTTGGTCCCCCATCGTGGTATAATGGCACTATTACCCGCCGACTGACTGACTGATTGACTGACTCCCTCACTCACTCCTTGCGGGCACTTGTCAGATTGTTTCAAATCGAGCCCTCAATTACAATCCTGTTTGAAATCAAATTAGCAAGCAACTGGTTTACCTCAACATTGACACTCTCCCAAATCAATGACAAGTGCAATATTGGCTAACCCAGAGGTCAGTTGGTGAAGAGCTCTGGTCAACGACCAAACAGATCAAATATATTGCCCCAATAGGAGCCCCAAGGAAGGAAACAGTTCTCGCGTGATTCTGCGAGAGCTACATAACGTCGCAAGAGTGTATAATCCCACATTCCGTGTTTGGCAATAATGATGAGGCGACAAGCAGCGCCCCTGATCGACGTGTGAACCGCCAGTGGTGTTTGGCTGGCTCATACACTTTCAGACGCTCACACCCCTTCCAGTCACACCATGGAGCCTGAGCGTCAATGTTAGAGACCCGATCAGTAGGTGAAATACATTATTGACCAAAGGTGACTGTTGATGTATCGGAGCAAGGGATACCTCATGAAAATAATCCCATTTTTCCATGTCATCAACGGCACTGATACAGAATCTTTACGAGAGACACATCAAAAGACAAAACTTAAAAGCAAATCATTAAATCTAAACATGTATGAATATAAGATTATATTGATTTTAAATTAGGTTTCACAGGAAATTCTCAGTCTATATATAGATGTTTGTCTGTGGGTGGAGAGGGTTGAGTAGAATTCTCCTAGGTAATATTTGTTGATAAAAACAAAACAGTAGTGTGTGTGTTGGAGTGAGTGAGTGAGTTAAAATTTAACGTCGCACCGGCATTATCACAGCCATATAGCGACGAGACCAATAATATATATACAATTAAGTCAGTAATGCAAAGTTTTGTTTAAAAACAAGTTGAAAACATATTTGAGCATA